CTCTCTTCAACAAGCTGTTCAGGTTCAAAAAACTCGTGCTTGCTCTTTCAACAAGCTGTTTCAAGTTCATCGGAAAACCAATGCTTGCTCTTCGACAAGCTGTTCAAACTGTGCTTGCCTCTTCGACAAGCTGTTCAATCTGCTTGCAAACCAAACTGTGCTTGCTCTTCAACAAGCTGTTCAAACTGTGCTTGCTCTTCGACAAACTCTTCAAGTTCATCGGAAACCAATGCTTGCTCTTCGACAAGTTGTTCAAACTGTGCTTGCTCTTCGACAAGCTGTCAAGCTTGCAACAAGCTGTTCAAACTGTGCTTGCTCTTCAACAAGCTGTTCAAACTGTGCTTGCTCTTCTTCAAAAGCTGCTAAACTGTGCTTGCTCTTCAACAAGCTCAACTGTGCTTGCTCTTCAACAAGCTGTTCAAGTTCATCGGAAACCAATGCTTGCTCTTCGACAAGTTGTTCAAACTGTGCTTGCTCTTCAACAAGCTGTTCAAGTTCATCGGAAACCAATGCTTGCTCTTCGACAAGTTGTTCAAACTGTGCTTGCTCTTCAACAACTGTGTGCTTGCTCTTCAACAAGCTGTTCAAACTGTTCTTGCTCTTCGACAGCTGTTCAAGTTCATCGAAACCAATGCTGACAATTGTTCAAACTGTGTGCTTGCTCTTCGACAAGCTGTTCAAACTGTGCTTGCTCTTCTTCAACAAGCTGTTCAAACTGTGCTTGCTCTTCGACTTCAACAACGCTGTTCAACTGTGCTTGCTCTTCTTCAACAAAGCTGTTCAAACTGTGCTTGCTCTTCAAAGCTGTTCAAGTGCTTGCTGTTTCAGGCTTGCATTGACAAGCTTGCTCTTCAACAAGCTGTTCTTGCTCTTCGGACAAGCTGCTGTTCAAACTTGCTTGTCTTCGAAAAGCGTGGAAACCAATGGCTTGCTCTTCGACAAGTTGTTCAACTGTGCTTGCTCTTCATAAACTGTGCTTGCTCTTCGACAAGCTGTTCAAACTGTGCTTGCTCTTCAACAAGCTGTTCAAACTGTGCTTGCTCTTCGACAAACTCTTCAAGTTCATCGGAAACCAATGCTTGCTCTTCGACAAGTGTTCAAACTGTGCTTGCTCTTCGACAAGCTGTTCAAACTGTGCTTGCTCTTCTTCAACAAGCTGTTCAAACTGTGCTTGCTCTTCGACAAGCTGTTCAAACTGTGCTTGCTCTTCTTCTTGACAACTGCTTCAAACTGTGCTTGCTTGCTTCTTCAACAAGCTGTTTCAAACTGTGCTTGCTCTTCTTCAACAAGCTGTTCAAACTGTGCTTGCTCTTCGACAAGCTGTTCAAACTGTGCTTGCTCTTCTTCAACAAGCTGTTCAAACTGTGCTTGCTCTTCGACAAGCTGTTCAAACTGTGCTTGCTCTTCTTCGACAAGCTGTTCAAACTGTGCTTGCTCTTCTTCAAAGCTGGTTAAAACTGTGCTTGCTCTTCGACAAGCTGTTCAAAACAAACTGTGCTTGCTCTTCGACAAGCTGTTCAAACTGCTTGCTCTTCTTCAACAAGTTGTTCAAAACTGTGCTTGCCTTCGAACAAGCTGTTCAAACTGTTTGCTTTCTTCAAGCTGTTCAAACTGCTTGCTCTTCACAAGTTGTTCAAACTGTGCTTCTTTCTTCAACAAGCTTGTTCAAACTGGCTTGCTCTTCGACAAGCTGTCAAACTGTGCTTGCTCTTCTTCACAAAGCTGTTTCAAACTGTGCTGCTTGCTCAACAAGCTTGTTCAAAACTGTGCTTGCTCTTCTTCAACAACAAAACTGTGCTTTGCTCTTCAACGCTGTTCAAACTGTGCCTTTGCTCTTCTTCAAGTGTTTCAAAACTGTGCTTGCTCTTCGACAAGCTGTTCAAACTGTGCTTGCTCTTCTTCAACAAGCTGTTCAAACTGTGCTTGCTCTTCGACAAGCTGTTCAAACTGTGCTTGCTTGCTCTTCACAAGTTGTTCAAAAACTGTGCTTGCTCTTCTTCAAAGCTGTTCAAACTGGCTTGCTCTTCGACAAGTTGTTCAAACTGTGCTTGCTCTTCGACAAGCTGTCAAGTTTCAAAACCAATGTGCTTTGCTCTTCGACAAGCTGTTCAAACTGTGCTTGCTCTTCTTCAACAAGCTGTTCAAACTGTGCTTGCTCTTCGACAAACTCTTCAGGTTCATCGGAAATCAATGCTTGCCCTTCGACAAGCTGTTCAAACTGCTCAAGCTGTTCAGCTTGTTCAGGTTCATCGGGAACCGGTGCTTGCTCTTCGACAAGCTTTTCAGGTTCATCGGAAACCGGTGCCTGCTCTTCCACAGGCTGTTCGACAGGCTGTTCAGGTTCACCGGAAACTGGTGCTTGCTTCACGACAAAGCGTGCGGTACCTTTAGCCTCCCTGTTTATCTTGGGTACATCCGAAAAGACGCGTCTGCACATGATCACAACGACCAGCAAGATAACCAAAGGGAAAAGCTTGCTACAATAGACCTCTGACGTCAT